CCCAACCCCCTGATGGGCCCTGCTCTGTGAGTGACAGGGAGCAGCTCCCCAACCCCCTGATTGGCCCTGCTCTGTGAGTGACAGGGGACAGCGCCCCAACCCCCTGATCGGCCCTGCTCTGTGCATGACAGGGGGTGGCGCCGCAACCTCCCCATTGACCCTGCCTTGAGTGTAACAGGGGGCGGTGCCCCAACCCCCCAATCAGTCTACCCTGAGCGTGACTGAGGGTGGCATTGCAACCTCCCGATCCGCCCTGCTCTGTGCATGACGGGGCGGCGCCCCAACTCCCCAATCGGCCCTGCTCTGAGCCTGACCAGGGGCTGCACCTAGGGATTGGGCCTGCCCTCTGCCACCCGGGAGCAGGCCTAAGCCAGCAGGTCGTTCATTATCTCCCGAGGGGTCCCAAACTGTGAGAGGGCACAGGCCGGGCTGGGGGACCCCTCCCCCCCCAGTGCACAAATTTTTGTGCACCGGGCCTCTAGTTGATATTTATAATAAAAGATATATGGTCATTTAATTCCCTCAAGTAAATAAAATTCCTCTAAAGCACATCCACAGAGACACATTGAAAACCAGAATTCCCATATTATGATCTAGTACATTTCAACTCCATCATAAGATGGAAGAGCCCTCTCATTTTTGAAACCTGCAATCTATGGCAGGAAAGTAATAGGACATATACAGGTTGTCCTTAACTTGTGCAATGCTCATGTATGAAGCTCGTGTATATTGGAACCATGTCCTTGCTTTGCACATTTCCGTGGTAACTGAGTACTGAGAGACAGAGAGGGAGAACTTTATTGTCTCCTCCCCGCTCTTGCATCTCAAATGGTCCCCCTCAGCAGTCGACCCTTTGCATCAGCCTACAGCATCCTAGGTCTTTCTTGTCTGGACAACTTCCATGCCTATCATCAGCTCCCAAAACCCTTCTCTGGTTATGCTACACCCATCGGGATTATTTCTCTGTTGACAAACATAAGGAAAGGACATATTACTTCTTCTTATTTATCATCCTCTTATTTTAAAAAACCTTTAGAAATTAAAACACGACATGTAGAAGAGAATATCTCTAATATATGTAAAGTATAAGAAATAACAATTTGACTTAAGAAATTAAACACTTCCTATATATTTGAAACCATCTACCAATTTGGTAATCTTTTTGGTTGTTTCTTCATTTTATAATATACTAAAAGCCTTGCAAAGTGGAAGTACCTTGGGAGTTCCCAGTTCTGAGAGGCTGTGATTCAGGGTGCTATTATATACATCTAAGGGTAAATAAATATCATGATAAAAATGGCATTTTTTCTATTAAGTGATAAAAGTTAGAGGTATATGCCCTATTTCACTATTAAGAGATAAACACTTCATCACTGTAAATGAGAATAAAACTTGCATTTTAAAGTCTTTCAAGGGAATCAGCTCTATTTCTTCCTGTCTCCATTCCCTCGGTAACACATTTAGTGCACGTGCACTCACAAGGAAGAGGCATTTCTGTGAAATTAATCAAATACAGAATTCAATGTTCCTTGCAGATAGATAATTTTGGGATGTTCCACTGGGAACTTTCTAGTCTGAATTTTCATACTCGGGGAAAGACTCACATGTTCCAAATACTCAGTGTTTCCTCTATTAGTGAAGAACATTATAGCAAAACGACTATATACAGAATCAAGGTATATGCAGCAAGACACTCTGTGGGAAATGTCATCATTAAAATGAAAGAAGGCAAAATGTGTGGGAATACAATTCAAAGGTGGCAAATAAAAACTAGCATATATAACGCTGTAAAAAGCATTATACTAATTAATTGACTTTCTGATTTAGCTAAAATTAAAAAAAATTCTGAGATGGAAATTTAAAAAATAATTCATAGCTCTTAATAATATAACAGTAATTCAAAATGACAAATCTCACTTAAGATAAATCAGTGCTACTGCTTTTGATGACAATGGAAAACACATGTTCTATGCCTAATTAACTCTTTTGACATCTTTATGTTTTGTTCTTTAATGTTTTCCTAAATTTATAAAATAACTCAAATTCTTATTCTGGCTTTGGCTTTATATTTCATACCAGTGTTGCTGCTGCTGCTGCTGCTGCTATTTGTTCTATATGCATGTTAGTTTAGCCCTAAAGCCTAAAGAAGGCTATAGCTCTTTCTATCATTGATGCTTTTATCTGCACTTCTGCACCTGGGGAATTGCTCAACTCCAGTCACAAAGACCTGGTGCTTGGACTGCATCCTCCCAGCTGAGGAGTTTTATTTGGTCATCTTGGTATTGGGGTGGGACATTTAAATGAGATGTCCAGGAAGCAAGTCATAAACAGGCTAAAGCTATAGATTTTGGAGTCAATGGAATATTTGAAGCCACAAGTAGGTAGCATGTCCCAAAGGAGAGTATATGGTACAGGAAGATCTTAGGACTAACGTGTCTAAATCATTAGGTACCCAACAAAGATTTAAGAACTAAAAGAATGGCCTAGAAAATGTACTGTACTTGTTTAATAACTTCTATTGCAGTTAGAGTAAAAAAGACTTCTTATTTCCACGGAATTCCGCCTCCAGACCTCTCCAGCAAAATAGTGATGACAGCTAGTGAAAGCCCTATCAACACTTCATATTTATATCCCTGAGGTGGAACCATCCTATTTCCACACATAGCACATTCTCATTGAATCCCACATTTAGTGAATGATGAATGCAAGACGTTTTCCACAATCTGGCTGCCCGCTTCATGCATTTTGTTAGCAAAGCACACAAAACTGGCAGGATCAGAGAGTAGCCTTTCCCAAATCCCTCCCAGTGTCAGCATGGCTACTGCGTATGTTCCTAAACTGGTGAATTTTCTCTTAAGAAAATACAAATTCAGCCCTAGCCAGCTTGGCTCAGTGGATAGAGCGTCAGCCTGCGGACTGAAGGGTCCCATGTTCGATTCCAGCCAAGGGCACATGCCTGGGTTGTGGGCTCAATCCCCAGTAGGGGGTGTGCAGGAGGCAGCTGATCAATGATTCTCTCTCACCATTGATGTTTCTATCTCTCTCTCTCCCTCTTCCTTCCTCTCTGAAATAAATAAATATTTTTTTTAAAAAAAAGAAAATACAAATTCATTTCAGTGCTTGACTCACATTGTATTGAGGCTTTATAATCTCTCTCATCAACAAAACTTGCTTTTATATATGTGGATCATTTTCTTATTCACAGGATTGAAGCAAAATGACAGCTTCTCAATTTGACTGTCAATACTGCTCAGCATCACTTCTTGGGAAGAAATTTATGCTAAAGGATGGCAATCCATACTGCATCAAATGTTATGATCGCGTCTTTTGTAACTATTGTGAGGAGTGCAAAGAAGCAATTGAATCAGGTTCCAAGGTAGGTCTTCTGTCAGTTCACAGAATTATTGCATATGAGCAGACAAATGCTTTGGAAAGCCTCTTTTCCTTTAGTTAACGGTTAATACTCTACAGCTCTGCTACTGGGTATAAGGATCTTCAAAGTTACCATCAACCAAATTCTAGGCACTATGCTTAGCACTATTAAATATAACCTATACTTTAATCTTTGCAATGATTTTAGGAGATAGTTTAGGATGCTAAATATTAAATAGGCTATTTGTCCAAAGTTACACCAATAAAATGTTGAGTTATTTCTGGAATCACAAGAGTATAAATGAATAAATACATAGATAATAGGATGTGTAAAGATTAAAGAATCTATTTTCTGGCTTCAAATCAGCCTCATTTCCACACCCATTGTGCCCTGATGCCTTTCACACATATAACTCATTTCTCCTACAAAGCAAATTATTGCATTTTTTTGTTTTCATTTATTTTGCCTTTGTTTTAGCTAGGTGGTGTTGAGATTTTGTTTAGTTAAATCTCAAATAATAATCTATAATAATAAAAGCATAATATGCTAATTGACCAGATGTCCTTCCAGTCATCCTTCCAGATGAAGCTGGGGCCGCAAGGGAAGTCCGGGTCCCGGGTGCCAGAGGGAAGCTGGTGGCGGCAGCCATGGGAAGGAAGGCCTACTCTTGCATGAATTTCATGCATCGGGCCTCTAGTAAGATATAACACCCTAAAAGTAAAGATTGGCTCTAGCCAGTGTAGCTCAATTGGTTGGGCATCATCTATGCACCGAGAGGTTGCCGGTTTGATTCTGGATCAGGGCACCTGCCCAAGTTTTGGGCTTGATCTCTGGTAAGGGGTATGCAGGAGGCAATGATCAATGTTTCACTCTCATATCTATGTTTCTCTCTCTTTTTCTCCCTTCTTGTCTCTCTAAAAAACAATAAAAATATTTAAAAATAAAATAAAAGTAAAGATTATTCCACGACAAGCCTCTCTTGTTTATAAAAGGAAGGTAGAGGAAATTTGAAGAAATAGGAGAGGGTCCACTTATTTTCCATCTGTCTTCAGTAATCAACCAACAAAGCCCCAGGCTCTAGCTCTTAATTGCCCCAGTCTCCTCTCAATGGGTAACAGTATCAATAACAACTTTCCCTCAAGCTACCAACACAACCTACTGGCACCAGAGTCCCAGGAGTGTTTAGTTTTGTCTTATAAAATGGCTAGTTTTGTTGAAACACATTTAATTAACTTTTATTCACTGTCTCCAAGGATCTTTGTTACAAAGGCCGGCACTGGCATGAAAGATGCTTCAACTGTGCCAAATGCAATCACTCTTTGGTGGAAAAGCCTTTTGCTGCCAAGGATGAGCGCCTGCTCTGCTCGGAGTGCTATTCTAATGAGTGCTCCTCCAAGTGCTTCCACTGCAAGAAGACCATCATGCCTGGTAAGATCAGCAGGGAGTTCTGGTCACTAACTGAAGTAACCGTGCTTTCAATTAAGCCCAAGCACAGAAGAGAATACTAGCTAACAACAAAAACCTGGTTCTGAGAGAAATACCTTTCTTGCTATCCCTTGATCTCATTTAGTGTACTGTAGAAATAAATCATTATTATTTCTGTCTTGAATGGGTAAATTAAACCTAGGTCATAGAAACATTTTGAATGAGAATGTGAGCCATAGAGTAAAGATAAAATCTATACCAATAATGCTAACATAGCATTACACATCCTGTCCTAGATATAACCAATGGCAGTGTTGTTCTCTCTTAGGGAAAACAAGGATCCATGTAATCATTACACGTTTAGGCAAGCACTAATTCTCTATGATTTTGACCCTTTTCTCAATCCGTATAGACAGCAGCATAAGAACATGACTCTCTTATTTTCTTATTATGGATTCAAATATTTTCTAGTTGATCATAACTGCACAACATCAATCTTATGAGTTTGTGCCCTTGGCATTCCTAAAAGTCCTGTAAGGATGATTATGGCCCAATTTATCTAAACTACATGCAGCCTTTCAGAGTCTCTACTTATAACACTTTCACATTTCAAAATTGTAGCTTCCAAAGCACAAGAGTTTTCAGTGAAAGAGTGACTAACCGTCATCATGTCTGAACTCTATTTACTTTTTATTCCCCAGATAAATATTTTGGAAGCCAACAAAACATTATTTTTATAAGGATAATTAATTTATCACCTTAACTTTAAAATATATATTTTAAATAATTTGACATATCTTCGCTTAAAAGGCTATAAAGTTATGCTTGATTTGTACTAACAGGTTATTAATTTTGGGGTACAGGTTCCCGCAAAATGGAATTTAAGGGAAACTACTGGCATGAAACCTGTTTTGTGTGTGAGCATTGCCGTCAGCCAATAGGAACTAAACCTTTGATTTCCAAAGAGAATGGCAATTACTGTGTGCGGTGTTTTCAGAAGGAGTTTGCTCACTACTGCAACTTTTGTAAGAAGGTAATTATCTAAAGAGGATAAAGTTTGTGGAATCTTCCAGACCACTGCCTTTTAGCTGTACTATATAGTGGAAGTGAACTGATACCACCAGGTTACATTTGTCTTTAGTGTGAATTCCAACATGTCCAAAGCACTACCTGTCGCATTGAGGATGGTCATCTATTTTTCTCACCATAAAATTCCACCCAGAACATTAATTTAATATTCCAACATCTCAAGTGACTTGAGATTCCACTTCCATTCACTGCTTTCCTCTAATTTCATGTATTCTAGTAGAGAACACACACCTCCCTTTGAACAAAATATTGCAAAGAAAATAATTTTTGATCTATTTCATTGCAGAGAAATATGGGTTTGTCTCACAGAGTGATGAAGTGAACCAATTTAAACAAGATGTTTAACTCCTCACATTATGTCTCAGCAATACAAATGTCTTCTGGCTTGAAGCTTTTATGTTTCTAAAGAGTAGATAGGGAGGCTCAAGGGAGATCATTAGGGAAATTCATTAAATAAAAAGACAGAAGACTAAGACCTTTGTGTGGCTGCCTTCACTTCCTTTAACTTTGATATTCATTCCAAACATATTTTCCAAAAGAAAAAAAAGTCACTTTTTTTCGAGTAGACTTTGCCCAATTCTTTTTTATCCTCTAAGCTTCTTTTGTGAAAAAGTCGCTCATCTCTGTCACCTTTACAAAACCTGTCTGTAGTCTATAAAATATATATTGATGTTCTCGAAGAAATCCTTGACCCTGAGGCATCATAAGTTTAAAATAGCACTATAAATTGTGATGAGAAAGCTGAATCATGAAAATACATTGGATTACTACAGTGATTTCTCAACACTTTTGATATATGGGCTACTTTGGCAGATCTTTTAAGACCTTTTGTATTCTTGCATCTGGAAAGCTAGTCGTCTCATTACCACTTTCTACAAATGCATAAATAAACATACATGCATACAAACACACACAGTAATTTTCTAGGTATACTTAAAATACTACTACTGCATTTGAGGTGGCATCAATAAACCCCTAAGTTATAATTCTTAAATTACACTATAATGATGGATGAAACTTACAAATGATAGAACATGACATCTTATACCAGGAAACTTCCATTACGCTACCAGAAACACTGACTTGGAAAATGACTTCAAAAGCAATAGTCAGACCCTATGACCCTGTGACATGTGAAGCTCCAAAGAATTATCAGAGTCAATGATACATTTAGAAACAGATGCCCTAAATAAAAATGAATAGATTTATCTCACTGTTTTGAGTGGCAATGAAGTTGGCCATTTTTTGACTGTTTCTTAAAGATTTACTCTAAAATAGTAATGAGACTTATGGGAATTATCTTAACGTCATTTATTGGGCACACAATTTAAAGTTCATTAGAATACTGTAAAGATTCAAGAAAGGAACTTCTCTAGTACATCAGCTGCTAAGCACTGTCTGGGGCCAAACCTCTGGCATTTCCCAGGTTATAGGAACCTGTCCTATATTTAGGACATGGTTTGAAGTCACTTAAAATTTATAAAATGTTTATATTGGATAGTAGACAGATCATGACAAGCCAGATTATTTTCTGTTTAATTTTTTAAGCCATAATTCCTTTAAGGAAAGGCAGATATAAATGTTTCTCATCAAAATGATCCAATCAGAAGAAAAACAATTCGTTTCAATCTAACCAAAGATCAAATATTTTTAAAAAATTAGGCAAAAACTACTTGTCAATCAGGCTCTTAGAAGTTTTTTCATAAATTTTATTTTGTGAAACTAAATTTTATTTTCTACCCAACAGCAAGTAACCTCAAACTACAAGTGCTTTGAATTCAAACTTCTCAAGGTTCAAATAGACTATTCTGCAATTTATCAGCTGTCATCTACTGAATGTAAAATTATTATTGCCTCCACTTTGTCAGAGAAGAAACTTCATCTAAATCCTGGCATCAATCAGTGGGAAAAACTAAGCTTAGATATTAGACTTCATTTTAGCCCACCTGCCTCTTCAAAAGGAACATGATCACAAGCAATCTGTTTTAATGCCCCAGAGTGTCTTCTCCCTAATTAAACAGTCTTGGCTGTACATTTCAAGTTTTACTTTGCTGTGAACACATTTTTTCAAGTTTGAATCTTTTAAGCATTGCCTGCTAATCATTTGACCAAACAAATCAAAGGAATCTTGAATTCTGCTGTGCCTGCTCTAAGGCATTTAAAGTCAGTAGGGAGTATTTTAAATTGCTTGTGTTCACACACACCATCATGTTTCCCATTTACTTATTTAGAATAGTGTACTTTTTTCCCGTTAGGAAAAATAACTTTTCTTCATAATACCTTTAATTTTTAAGATTTTTTTTTATATTTTAAAATACCTTTAGAATAATCATTTAAAAACCCTCTATCACAGGCAAGTGACATTTTAATGGCTTATCTACTTCATTGAAATACAAAGGTTACAAGAATCATCTCAGCTACAACATTGCTTCAGTCGTTATAAGACAGCAGTTCTCAACCTGTGGGTCGCAACCCCTTTGGGGGTCGAACGACCCTTTCACAGGGGTCGCCTAAGACCATCGGAAAACACACATATAATTACATATTGTTTTTGTGATTAATCATTATGCTTTAATTATGTTCAGTTTATAACAATGAAATTGGGGGTCACCAAATGAGGAACTGTATTAAAGGGTCGCGGCATTAGGAAGGTTGAGAACCATTGTCTTATAATGAACCACTTATAAGACATTTACATGAACACATTCCAAGTTCCACAGCTACTGCAGGTCAATAGCCATGGTTCCGAAAGGTGCTATGACTTAAAAATTGTTACACAAGTTTTTACCTATATTATCCCAAAGAAAGATGTCTCTGCCTTTTAAAAAGTAGAACCCAAGGATTCAACTGGTATAGAAAAACACCCGTATATTATGGAGGAATAATAACCATCTCTGACAAAACTCTAGCACATCACACATCAATGTACAACCAGTGCTCTTAGAGCCTTAACGCTGAAAACTTATACTGTTGCCCACAGTATACCATTTGTGCTAGATACAATATTGGAATTGCTTTCCAAACACTTTTCCCCTTGGTGTTTATTCACTCATTCAACAAGGACTTATCAACTGTTTACCATTGCAAAGTTATCTTGCCTCAGTATTGTATTAATGTTTAAGCACATGAGCTCTGGGATCAGATTGTGCAGGTTTGAATGCTAGCTCTGTGTGTCCCTGGCAAGGGACAACCACTCTAACCCCAAGTACTTGCTCATCTCATAAAGGGGAAAGATAATAGTCCTTACTATGTAGATATGTTGAGAATAGTAAGAAGAGGCCATCCCTTAGCACAGGGCTGAAGACCGAAAAAACACTTAAGTTTAGCTCGTTACTAACAGATGATGGTGCTTATCCATTCCATTCAGGGCTGTTACTGCTGGATATTCTTGAGCCTGGAGGAAAGCCTTCAGGAAAAAAGCTTTTTATTCAGCATCCTTAAAAGGTAAACATAGAAATAAGAACAGAGCATAGAAAATATTTTAGATCTAATGGCAGATCTTTGATGACCAACAAGAAAGTCATAGAAAGATAAGAAATGAAATCAATAGCTGACTTCTTTTTCTTTTTTCTGCATCCATTATATCCCTGTTTCCTTTCTGTTCCATTATGGGAGAAAAATTAGGATATGTATCACCAGTTCATATCTCTATAGCCTTTTGCTTCTCATATCCATCCTCCAAAAAATCTTAGAAAAAGGACAGCTTGACACAAGATGATGAAGTAGCCCAAAGAATAACCTGTGGACATAGAAGAGCATCACAAAAGGTCTGAATTCGTACAGCTCCCACGGTCATTACCTTTTTTTGTGATCCTTTGGCAGGTGATAACTTCAGGTTGGATAACATTTCATGACCAGCCATGGCATAAAGAGTGTTTTCTGTGTAGCGGCTGCAGGAAAGAGCTCTGTGATGAAGAGTTTATGTCCAGAGATGATTATCCATTCTGCTTGGACTGCTACAACCGTCTTTATGCCAAAAAGTGTGTAGCCTGCGCCAAACCCATTACTGGTGAGTTCTTTAGTTGAATACAGTCCTTACATGAGACAGTTATGGCTACATAAATGCTATATAGTTCACTCTGAAAATAAAAAAAAAAGGTAATCTTTTCCTTATGTTTCTTTTTCTAGATAAACACAAAATACATAAGCAGAAATCTTACACAGACACTTCCAGGCAAATATAGATTATAATCAGGGTAACTATACTCTAGAGGCCTGTGAAATTATTTGGTATCAGGCCAATGAAATCATTTGGTTTGGCCCTGTCAAGGCATTAGGGGTGAGTTAATTAAATGTTTGACCAAATATAGCAGGCTAATTTTTAAGTTGATAATTTTATATGGCCCTTGAATGATGTTATAAATATCCAAATGGCTCTTGGCAGAAAAAAGGTTCCCCACCCTTGCTCTAGAGGATTATTAATCCTAAATGTAATGGTACTAACTCTCAATAAAGGAATAGTTCAGAGGAAGAGGAGAACAGGATGAGCTGAGACATAGAGACCTTCATGAGGAGGCCTGGTCTGAGCCGGACCTTTAAGGATTCGAGTGGAAGGAAGGGATATTTGAAAATAAAAATCCTGCTTAATCCAAACAAGGACAAAAGGGCCTTAAAAATGGAAAATGTTTTAATTAAATGTAAGTATTGTACTGAAATCCAAAGCTGTATTAATTAGGGTAGCATAGGTTACGAATTAATTAAACTTCATTTTAAGATGTTTCTAACAAATGTATTATTCTATTTTTTCCTCTTTTCCCTTGCATTAAGTTTTAATTATGAATAGATGAAATAAAACCAGATAGTGTTCTGCTGAAGAAACGAAGTACACGTGGCATGTTTGAAAATAACATAAGTGGTAAATCAATCTGTGTTAAATAGATTTTCAAGGCAACAAACAAAGCATTACCTTTTCCTCATAGACCCTTCTAAAATGCTTACCCTGTAGTAAAAGAACTAAAGCTAGCACAGCCCCTGAGAAGCCCCATCATCACTCTGCTAGGTAATTTACAGTCACTGAATGATGTGGCAGAACTCCCCATGCCTAGTATTCTTAGATAATATTTCATACTAGAGTCCCAGTGCATGAAAATTCATGCACTCGGTGGGGTCCCTCAGCCTGGCCTGTACCCACTCGCAGCCTGGGGCCCCTCAGAACTAAGCTGGCAGTTGGACATCATCCCTCTGATAGCCTGGGAGCCCTCAGGTGATGTCCGACTGCAGCTTAGACATCCTTAGCACTGCCGAGGAGGTAGGAGAGGCTCGGAGGTAGGAGAGGCTCCTGCCACTGCCTCTGCGCTCGCAGCCGTCAGCCCCCTGTGGGAGCACACTGACCACCAAGGGGCAGCTCCTGCATTGAGTGTTTGCCCCCTGGTGGTCAGTGTGTGTCATAGCGACTGGTCATTTCTGGTTGTTCCACCATTAGGGTCAATTTGCATATTACCCTTTTATGATATAGGATTTTAGCTCAGTTTATGTAACATGGAATTAAAGATTATTGTATCCCTCTCCTTCTCCTCCATCTTCAAATGTTTCACAAAATAAAAGTTGAATCTTCATGAATCTTTAAAGAAAGAAAACAGTTTTGCTGCACACCCAGCGTAGCAGGCTTTCATTGACTTGCAAGCAGGGAGAGAGTGTTACCTGGTACTCGGAGCACAGTCCTGCTCATCTATGTGGGGCACCAGGCTTTTCACAATCTCACACTGGCCCTCAGGCTACATCTGGCCAACAGCCATGTTTTGTCTGGACTGCACATGTTTGGAAACAATGCAATGTAATGTAATGTAATGTGTAATGTAATGTAATGTGTAATGTAAAATCCTACCCAGGTGAGCTGACTGCCCTTACATTCCATAGCTAGGTCACTGTTACATGGAACTAAGCTGCTGCCTTGTTGTGTAGGGCATGTCCTCTCTGTTCCTCACACCTTGTTTTCATCATTCAGCTACATCACCTGTCATCCCTTTCAAGGCCTTGCTTTGGCAATTCCATACAATCAGGCTCCAAAGCTTGGACTCTTAACCACTCTACTTTCCTGCCTTTTACACATCTGACAACTCCTGCAGTCAGGAGAAAAAGCCATTATCTTCCCTGATTTTATCTAGAAAATGGGTCTTACAGAAATGCAATAGTACCTGGAGCTCAAAAATCTCCTTAGTGGAATCTGCCATCACAACCCAACAGATTCAGTTGACTTATTCTAGAACACTTTTCTTGAACTAGTCAGAAAAAAATGGGGGGCTTCCATGAGAATATTAGAAAATTACACAACTCAAAATGGGTTTGAAAACTTTTGGGGAACCCAATTGGCCAATACTAGTTTGTAAAGAGCCTACACAAGCCTTGAACTTGATGAGTTTCAGTTCTGATCCATACAGATTCATGTGTCTAGGAAATTTTTTTCTGATGAATTATAGCACTTTGATCACTGAGCTCAGCTTTTTAAGGTTCAGACAGAGAAACCACAGTGTTCTGAATATTACATAAGGATGATCAGAAACCAGAGATTTGACCCAAAAGTAATCCAAGATTATCTATTTAACTTGGAATAACCCGTCTTTTGATAATTATCTTCATCTCCTTTTGGCTCTGTGACTGAGAGATACTAGGTACTAAACTTCCAACTTGCTTTAATATTTTTGTCTAATTCTTATACTTATTATATATAAGTCCTAGAGTAGTGCTTCTTTTAAATTGAGCTATTTGAACTAACATCCGATAGAGAATTCTTATACTATCATATCTTCTGAAAGTTGCACATTCAAGCAAACAATATATCACTTGTAAGGAACTATGTTAGAATGTTTTAAAAATACTATTTTATATTAACTAAATCTCTAAGGCATCTGGTAAAAATTTTTAATCCCATCACAATGAATTTGAGTCATCTGAACAAACTCAATGTAAAAATATATTTTTTACTCATCTAAGATAAGACTAACCTTTCAAATTTTCAGGGATAAATGAAGCAGCCTGATGTAGTGCAAAGTACTTTGGACTAGACGCAGCCATGGGCAAACTACGGCCTGAGGGCCGGATCCGGCCCGTTTGAAATGAATAAAACTAAAAAAAAAAAGACCGTACCCTTTTATGTAATGATGTTTACTTTGAATTTATATTAGTTCACACAAACACTCCATCCATGCTTTTGTTCCGGCCCTCCGGTCCAGTTTAAGAACCCATTGTGGCCCTCGAGTCAAAAAGTTTGCCCACCCGTGGAGAGAGTAAATTACATACCTTAGTCTTGCCTCTGCTCCTGACTATTGTGTGAAAGTGAGTAAACAATTCACCTCTGAGGTCCTCATTGGCCTTATTTTCAAAATAAGGCGTTGAGCAGGATTACATCTTAACTTTCTTTCATTTCTGTTTATTTTAACTCAGTGATTCCCAAAGTGGGCGCTACCGCCCCCCGGTGGGCGCTGCAGCGATCCAGGGGGGCGGTGATGGCCACAGGTGCATTTGGGGGCCATGAGTAACTGCTATTAAAATTTAAAAAAAATTAATTTCCAGGGGCTGAGTAATATTTTTTCTGGAAAGGGGGCGGTAGGCCAAATAAGTTTGGGAACCACTGTAATTTAACTAAAAGGGGTTTCAAATATTATGATTTCTTCAGAAAGGGATGCTAATGTTTCAGGTTATGTTTTTTTACAAAAGATAAATTCAGGCTTAATTTAGTGGAGTTAAGAGCATACATAGGCTCTGAAACTAGATGGCCTTGAATTAAATCCAGATCTGTCACTTACTAGCTGGGTGATTTGGGCAAAGAGTTGAACCTCTCTGTCAATTTCTGTATGCAAAGTAGGGTTGGTGATAACATCTTCCCCATGGAGGTGAGGAGAGCGTTATATGAAGTAATACATGTAAAGGGCTTAGAATATTGATGGGTTCATCTTTAAGTGTTCAATCAATGTTAGTTCTTATTTTACTGAATTTTCAGGAGTAAATGAAGCCAGATAAAAACAAGTGCTGGAGACCTGTTTCCTGGATGACTCTCTTACTGCAGATGACCCTCATGACCTGAGGGCCTAAGCATATCTAAAACTGAAACAATTTATAAACATCACAGGATCAGTCAGGCCCTTCTTAAATTTCTGCTACCAGATGCTCCTATTTTTTCCCTCTTCATAAAATTCTAGACTTGTTTTTACATTTGCCACTGTACAATCTTACTAATAAACTCAAGAAAAACTCATGAGCATCAAAATGCTAGATGTGTAATAATTAGTTTTATGAACAGAGATGATTTACATTTATCGAGAACATCATTCTTACAATCAGCTTGTCAATGTTTTGAATAACATTAAAAGAATTAATTGGTTCATTATTGATTTACTCTTATTAGAAAGTGATGATAGCACCATAAGTAGCAAGCTATAAATTTATTTAATCAAGGAAAGCAGAAAAATTTTATATAAATGTATCTATAAACTAGTAAATTATATGTAAAGACATCAAATAATGTTTCTAGGGTGGAAATAAAAGTTCATTATAATATTAAGGAGAGTTTATCTGAAATAGAATGCTTATTCACTCTTTTTGCTTCACCATCCCAAATGGACTATTTGGAAATTATATGTGAATAAGCACATGAACTATTTAACTTCATTCTATGGTATAAGTCACAGGAAGTTCACAGTACTAAGGTCACTTGAAAAAAACTTGGCAAATAAATAAAGACCCAAGCTTAGGGATATTCCAACCCCTTCCCAATTCCTAGACCTTTCTCCTTTTCTACAACTCCTCAAAACCAATTCCTTGAACTGTGTGCCTTGGATTCATATTAGGGATATAGAGATAGTGTCCACTGAAGACTCAAATTCTACCTTTCTTCAAACACCATGGCTCAAGTGAGGCCCAAGTGGTGAAGGCTGACAAGGCACTTCTTAGGAGCTAATCATGGGCTAACATGGTCTTAGAGTGATCAGATCCACAGACCTTTGTCACAAGCTGAAGTTGTCTCTGGGCAAGGTAATGAGGTCATCATGTTAGGCTAGCTGCATGATAATCTGGATAAAGTTCTAGATTTGGGGCTTTTGGAAATTGTATCCCAAACCACAATATGAGCATAGAACTTTATCCTAAGTACAATTTAAACATGGAAAAAGAAGGAGGAGAACTAAAAGTCATCAAAACATCAGACATCAAGCTATGAAGTACAATTTTATTCTAATATCGCCTCTAAGAAAACAAGGGCACAACAAGAGAAAAGAGAAAGATATCTTATTTGAGTATCTATTCCCAGTGCACTACACTGTACTTCCTTATCTGTCTTAGCAGTCCTAATCTGCTTCCAAAATTATGTGCTTTTTATATCCAAATTCTACCTACTTGTGTAGATAATGGGACGTTTTCACTGGGAATCAGACTGGATCTCATCAGAGGAACCTGTTGTCTGGGTGATAGTCCCAGATGGATACAGAGCACCAGGGGCAGCATTCCTGTTGAGGTTACTTGCCTCAGTGTCATCTTTCTGCATCTCCAGTTCCTAAAAGAGATCCTGATTGAATGCTCAATCTATTCATGGAAAGAATAGATTATTCTTTTTCTCCTATTTTTTACAGGTCTCAGAGGTGCCAAGTTTATCTGCTTTCAAGACCGTCAGTGGCACAGCGAATGCTTTAACTGTGGGAAGTGCTCGGTCTCCTTGGTGGGGGAAGGCTTCCTGACCCAGGACAAGGAAATCTTCTGCCGCAAATGTGGCTCCGGGGTGGAGACTGACATCTAGACGGAGACAGTCCTTCTCTTCCTAACATCCACCTTGCTTTTGTTCTCACTAAATCCAGAACTTGGTTGAAGTCGTATTTCTGACTTGAGTTTTAGAAAATATTAATGTAAACTTCATAGCAGAAGGGTTTTGCACACATTTTGATTGAACTGTATTATAAGAGCTCAAAAAAAGCACAGTCTAACTGAAATGAATGTATACTAAATCACAAAGGAACCTCTGCTTACAAAATACTGCACTCTGCTGTTAGAAATAATAGGAGCAATCTCTTTGTTGTAACCAAGTAGAGCACCTATACATAGAAGTCATGAATGTTAGTACTGAAGACAAATATCGTTCAAAACTGCAGAGTAAAAAGGAAATTAAGAGGTCAAATTAAAAGGCATACGTAAGACTAATGTTTGTGCTCCTAGCAAGCTAGTGATACATATGGTGATATGAATAATAAAACAGTGATCTGGGAAAACTGATCAGCAATCAGCACATTTAAGAATTCTGTCATTTTATCATTCTTTTATTACTCACACATACTGGCTTTGAAAAACAAAACTGCAATTTGCCCTCATCCACACTGCTTCCACAGCTCGTTGGTTCCCATGGTTAATCAATGTCTCTGATACGCTATATAAACATAATGGGTTCTCTCTACCTGGGGATAGTCAAAACATATTTTATTAAATGTATTTTCAAAGCCCACATAATTTTTCTAAAGAGTTACATATTTCATGAGAGAAAATGTCTATTCTTTCAAGCTAGCTAACCAGGATAATCATTGTCTCCAAGGCAAACCTTTAAAGTAAATAGATCATTAAATCATCACTTGTGGAAATGAGTTTTAGGGAAGGGACTGAGTGTTGGAACATGACTTTCATCCAGATATCTAAAGGCATAATAGAATGCATAATTAGCTCTGAGCCTCATGCATTTTGACTTCTAAAATTACATAGATGATTAATGGAAAGACATAAAAGCGGGCTTTAAAGAAATCTAATATTAATAACTGAAAAAGAATAATTCACTGCTGGTAATTCAGGACCTGTAACGCCGTAGAGTAGAGCAATGGGGCTATAGATGAGCCCTCCCACTGTGTCTTCTCATCTGCGCCACCCACCTCACCCATGCCAGCCACACCCCAGAGCTTCAGTCTCCGGCATGACCCAGGGGTACACTCTCACCCCTAAGCAGTCATTCTACAAAAAAGTCTGTTTTTATTGGTCATAAGGGAAGTAATGGCCTTAGTGAAAAGTCTAGCTGCCCTGGACAACACTCCACATTGTGTGGGACAAGTGAAAGCAACCTCTGCTCTCTACGGTCAATTATCAACCTTTTAAGTGCACTTGCGTGGGATAGGGGGAGGTCAGGAGAAGAAACCTACCTAGATGTAACTGTTATGCATCTACTCTCAGATTATTACATAGCATTAACTTTTCTGATTGAAATCTAATTATATGCTGTGGCTGATTACCATGATTAAACTAGCATCCCAGGAGATTCAATTAAAATTGTTATGGAAACACCAGTTTTGAAATAGTTTAAAGTGCAAGGACATTTAGAGATGCTAACAACTTAGAGATACTATTAAAAGGTCAGGCTGCATAGGCTATTTGAAAGTAATAATTGCCTCCTTTTATATGAACAATGCCAGGATATTTGCTTACTTCAACTTTACAAAATGTAGAAAAACCTATCAATATTTTTCCTGATTTGTTTAAAATTTCACATAACAGGTAAGGAACTAAATATGCCAATTGTTCTAGGATCTGGAAAATAATAGTACATTACATATTTAGAAAACCAAGTCATTCTAAGTCTGTAGAGATATATAGCATTGTAACATTGTCTCAGTTAACCAATTACATATAAATATACAAAATGTAATGTTTTCTTGGTTAAACAATTGGTAATATGAAGGCATTTTGCTGTGTGTGTATAGGGTTGGTGAGTGCATGTGATCAGGCTTGTATTCTATCCGTACAATTAAAATTCACCGAACCATTGCTGAGGCAGAGATGTTATCATCCTCTGGTGTATATACTTAAGTATATACACTTCTGCATATAAATAATTCCATATTTAGAATGTAGTTTAGTCATCAAATATGTGTTAGGCATGTCTGTGCACAAAGGTAGAGTTTGAGTGGTTGTGGTTCTGGGATGAGGGGTGGGGAGGTCAGGTTATGGAAATGTGGGAATGTCAGATATAAAGATCCTCCCCTACAGCTTTTAAAGGTGCCACTGTAGACACAACACACATATGCAAAACAACTAAGAAAGAAGGCCTCCTTACACTGACATGCATACAATGGTAACAGTAAAAACTTTATGCTACCATTGATTTCAGGTTAATAAAGATGGAATTGACTGCCTCAGGAAGAGGTGGGCTCCCGGTGATTCAAAGAGTGATATCTGAACAGGCAGGAAGCAGTTAGAAGCAATTCCCTTGCTAAAAACAACCAGATGGTTTGGAAGTAACAGAGAGCTGCTCCAAAGAGCAAGAAGTGAGATGGCTAAAGGAGAAAGGGCAAAAAAAAGGAGAATGTTAACTCTTAGGGCAGAAGATTTATATTTGACATAACATGCAATAGAAAGTTACTAACTATTCTTAAATAGAGGAGAAAGCATCACAATAGTATTTGAGAAAGATCATGCTGCTGATTCTGTGTGGCCTGGAACTGAAGAGGACAAGGTCCAAAGGCTAGGCCTCTTAATGCAGCAATATGTGTGGTTAGTGGCAAAAGAAGTGAAAAGATAAAAACAGTAATGCAGGCCAAGAGCTCTATCTATCAATATAAATGTGTATGCAAGACAACAAATCAAAATATTTTATGCTGTCATGTTGAGATTAAAGATGACAAAAAAAATGCAGAAAAGAATTTCTGCTTCCATGATAACAGGTAGGGTGTCCACGGGTTCAATTTTCACTCAACCAATGGACATTGGAATAATCCAGGTCCATTGGTTAAAAGAAGTGTGACAATTCTACCATCATCAGTTCAAAACTTACATAGTCACTATAACTGTAAAAAAAACCTCACACTCTGTTGTGCATTGGAGATACTGATCACAATGGCCTTGGTTAAAAACCATCACAAAATTTAGTACCACAAATGAAAAATCAACCCAAAGATATGTCTGATGTTAGTGACACCATTTTTTAATTTAAGGAAAAAATACTTATTAGTCTAACTGGCATAGTAATAATACTTCATATTTTAAATAAGAAAATGATTGTTACAGTATGTTTTAGATATATTTAATTGAGCACATAAATTATTCTCAAATATATTTATCAGTAGATGTTTGTTATTGCAATAATACAGTTTTTACATTGTTTCTTCAATGAAGGAGTCAGAAAATCAATAGGAATTATACTTGCTAAGATATTACTTTTATCCTGAGCCTTTTCCACTGGAAGCATCAGACCTTTGGATCATGATTCTACCAGAAACATTTCAAGAGTCACCAGGGATAAGTGTAAAGAAACGTTGGAGGAACTTGAGATCCTCTTTCCAGGGAGAGATAAAGAAGATCTATCAATACTTGGGGAAAATGTCATAAGGTAAATTTACCTTACAACTTCTCCAGAGTCAATGTATGTGGACTTTATTATCCCAACACAATAAAGTACAAGGATACCAGGTGTCTTCATTTGAACCATCCAATTCAAGAGAAATTAAGAAATCAGTCCATCCACTCAGTCACCCATGTGGCTTCCTAGATGTTCCTAAAAATGCATCATCCCAAGAGAATTAGAGAAATTCTTTTTCAGAATCATGAACAATCTAAACTTTCCCAGATGACTAAGCTTTAGGACCAGATATCCTGTTAAAAATGGGTTGGGAAAAATATTTCTCAAATGGGGAAATAAAAAGGAGGAGAAAGAAACAATCTATAAAAGACATAATAGGATTTATGTGACTTTGGAATGACTGGATTATATATCTCTGTGGTTGTGAAAGGGAACAGCTCACTGTGATAGGATTATGATCCATGTCATAGGGAGCAGAGAGTATTTGGGTCAAATATTTTCCCACGAATGGTAATAAACTTATGAAGTAGATGTCCATAAAGGGTTCTCTGAATGAGAGACATTAATGAGCTCAACAGACATCCATTCAATGACTCAAGCAGTGACATTAAATGCTATTCCCACCATACGCAAAAACAAAAAATCAGCTTTGATATTTATGGAAGTCCACACACTGAATCCAAAGGCTTATTCTTTCTTTGTACAAATGATAGCCTATCCCTGATATGTCTCCGTAACATCATTTATGAAGCTGTCTATCTAAAAATTCCAACCCAAGCTTTCAAACAGGAAATGATTGAGGAAGGATGGATAAGGAAAAAATGGAAGAAAAAAAGAGTGGTAATGAGCCCTGGGTGGGTAGCTCAGTTCATTAGACAACAAATCTCTCTCTCTCTCTCTCTCTCTCTCTCAAATAAATTTTCTGAAAATTAAAAAAAAGAGTGGTGATAACAAAAATTTACTGCTGAAAAGGTAAAAACAAATTGTTGTTTTTTTAAATTTTTCCTTATATATTTTTTTCAAAACTACAGAGTTTTTCAAAGGAAGCAAAATAAATGAACAAAAGAAAAAAATTGATAGAATTCTGGATTTAAGAACTATACCTTGGTATCTGTTACCTCCGCTCAAGGGAAATCACTTTTTCAGCCACCAATGGATATGTAGTCACCGAAGTCAATAATCTTCAACTTCCTATGCTGCTGTGAGGTATTTTGCTATTGTTGACTTTCCCTTGTTCTTTCAAAATTTGACGATAGTAATGATTTTACTATGGATACATATATCAAATCATCATGTTGTACACCTTAAATATACACAATTTTCATTTAAAAAAATTTTAAATTAAAAATAGCAAAATGCTCATAGGCAATTGTCATCAGGTGGTAGAGCAATCTTAAAAAACAGATCCTCTTCAGTAGTTATGATGTTCCATATTTTCCTTACATTTATAAAAAAATTTTATGTTCAACAAATATGTCTCATTATTTTCATACACTACTGGGTAGAGAAAAGTATTTCTGAAAGGCAATTTGAGAGCCTTAAATTTTTTTCCTACACTTTGACCAAGAAAATTCAATTTCTAGGAATTTATACTGGGAAAATCATTGATAAGCAATACAACTTATTTCAGTTCTGGAATGTTTATTGATGTATTGTGTATGTGTTTAAAACCCCAAACAAGAAACCAACTTAAAGATCCAAAATAAAAATGAATTCATTCTGGTACCTATTTACAATGGAATACTTTAAAAGCAGCCATTAAATTTTTTTGGCCCTACTCGGTTTTACTCAGTGGATAGAGCATCGGCTTAACGACTGAAGGGTGCCATGTTTGATCCCAGTCAAGGGCACATGTTCAGGTTGCAGGTTCCATCCCCAGTGTGGGGTGTGCACGAAGCAACCAATCAATGATTCTCTCTCATCATTGATGTTTCTATCTCTATCTTCCTCTCTCTTCTTCTC